TATCACATCCCACTATATATTGCATTTATCGACTTCGAAAGGCTTTCGATAGTGTTGAACACTGGGCAGTAAAGAGCTCATTAATTAATAGCAGAATAGACTATAGATACACAGACCTAATAACCAACATATACAGGGTGTCCCAAAAAGATACCGACAAACTTTAAGGGGTAGTAGGGGACATCAAAACAAGCATTTTTGTTTATATAAACATATTTCCGCAAATGAGCCATTTGGGCTGTAGAGCAAAAAAATTCTTTTCATTCTTCGCAATAATCAAATCACTGTTTACTTCTTAATTTTGGTTTATTAACAAATCAATTATGGTTTACAATAATTGTTCAAAATGTTGACTATTTACTTCAATGCAAAAATTGCACTGTCGGGTCATTGACTCGCGAATCCTTTGGAATATTCCGGGAATAGCTTCTACATGGGTACAACTCGCCAGAATCCTTGCTAACAGATCTTCCTCATTACGAACAGGTGTTTCGTAGACTAAACTTTTCAGTCAATGACCCGAAGGTGCAATCTTGGCATTGAAGTAAATGGTCAACATTTTGAACAATTATTGTAAACCATAATTGATTTGTTAATAAAGCAAATTTAATAAGTAAACAGTGATTTAATTATTGCGAAGAATGAAAACAGTTTTTTTGCTCTACAGCCCAAATGGCTCATTTGCGGACATATGTTTATATAAACAAAAATGCATGTTTTGATGTCCCCTACTACCGCTTAAAGTTTGTCGGTATCTTTTTGGGACACCCTGTATAGCGAAGCAACAACTGTTAAAATTCATGAGGGAACAAAACCAATACCCATAGGAAGAGGTGACACAATATCACCTAAACTTTTAAACCAGGCTCTGGAACATGCTTTTAAAAAACTAGACAGGGAAACAACACTTGAGCAACTTAGATACGCGGATGATATCGCCCTTATAACTGATAAGAAAGAAGAACTGACGGAAATGCTGGAAGAACATGACACAGCAGCTAAAAACGTAGGTCTCAATATGAACTACGCTAAAACTAAAACAATAACGATCACAGACGATGACATTACAATCAGAGTAGGACAAGAAAAAATAGAACAAGTCGACGAATATATATATCTAGGACAGATTATTAAACTCAACAAAGAAAGCCAAACAGCAGAAATCAAGAGACGAGTTAGATTGGCTTGGGCAGCATTCGGCAAATTAAAGCTACATCTTGAAAAATAGAAAATATCCACAATACCTCGAAACCAAAGTGTATAATCAATGTATACTTCCTATCCTCACCTATGGATCCCAAACATGGACACTTGCAAAGTCAAACATGGATAAAATAACAAAAGCACAGAAATCAATGGAAAAACAAATGTTACATGTGAAACTGATAGATAAAAAGAGGAACGAGTGGATAAGAAATGAAACGAGAGTAAGAGACGTTAGAAAGGAGGTAGCAAAATTAAAATGGAAATTCGCAGGTCACAATATCAGACAAAAAGCGACCGATGGAATAAATGTATTTTAAGCTGGAGACCTTGGGAGAATAAAAGAGTGTGAATTATTATAGTTTAGGACGTAGGTAATTATTTTTATTTGCAATCATATATGTAATGTTGACATTGCAGGTTTTTCAAAATCTTGAAAGTGTCACATTTCTGGACTTTGACATTTATCGGGACGGTAATGCATATGCCTGCCTAGGACGGAAAAGCATTTTCCGTCCGGGACGGCAAATGCTTTTCCGTCCCCATTTCCCTGCTCGTTCCAAATTGATAATTTTCATACAGCTCTCACATATAATAATAAAACCACATGTATTACATGGAACTAATTAAATCTATTCACTTATTTACATTAATTGTTAAATTAGCATTGTTGTTTATAATGGAAATCTTGAGACCATCCTGTTGGAATTGTGTTTCGTTTGGAACTATTATCTCTTGCGCTTGCGGATGAGTTTCCGCATGTGATGTACTTGTGGATGCACTGGACAACTGAATACCTTTGGAAGTAGAGGATAGCATCAGAGCAGTCTTACTTTTGTTCTCCAAAGATGCCTCTATGTAGCCTTCAGCAACCGTGCTCGATTTCCACCCTCCCAGTCTTTTGAGTTGCAATAGATCGGCCCCGTTGTCAACCAATAAGGTTGCGGAAGTACGACGAAAAGCATGCCCTGTAAAAGTTTCAATTTTTGGAAGCTTCAAAAAAGCAGCTATTTTATGTGGAAATTTTGAGATTGAATGATAGCCAATTGCTTGGTTATGTAATTTCCCATTTCGCCATTGAACAAATAACCTGTCATTTTTCAAATTTTTCCGCAAAGTGAGGTATTTGTGGAAAATAGCAACCCAATCTGGATCGCTTATGATAAACGATCGACTTGTGTAAGTTTTTGTGTGTGGAATTTCTATAGCGATCTTTCCTTCCAAAACGTTGACGTGCTCCATTTTCATCTTGACTAGTTCATCGCTCCTACATGCACCCGACACACCAACAATTAGCGCTACCTGAAACCAGATAAAAATAAAATGGGTAACCTAGCTATAGCATACAGAAAATCATTTTGATTTTCGCATTTTTATCTTCTTTGTATATTTTTTGAAAACCTACCTTGATGCTAATGAATTCTTCAGCTGCCTTCGTGAGGAACTCGTTAATGTTTTCTCTGGAAAAAACGCTCGACTTTTTCGGCTGAAAGCCCAGATTTTGCCGCTTCAAAAAAGCTATAAGTTTTGCGTAATTGGAGATATCAACTTTCTCTTTCAATTTAATCATGGTTTTCAACATACTGTAAGTCGACCATAAAGTCGAAGGCTTCTTTTCCTTAGATAATTCGCCAAAATACGCCAACAAAACGGTCTCCGAGGCAGTATTTCTCGTTCCTTTCTGGCTACACCATGCTTCGAATATTTGAAAAGCCTTTTCGTACCGAAATTTGCTTTTTGCTGGAAGCAAACTCTCTCCAATCCTGTCTGCTGCTTCTTTTAATTCAGGTGGGGTACAATCCATCGCTTCATCTTCACTTTCCGAAATCATTTCTTTGGGGAGAACGGGGAGAAATCTAGTGAAAATCTATTATTTCCGCAAAAATACTGAGCGAAAACTACCGTCGTTAAGGCGTTGTTGATCGATCTTATCTATGGTTGTTGATTTTGCGGTTTCCTGTGGTTTCGTCTTTTGTTTTGGCCTTTACAGGGCCTTTGAGATCGTCAAAATTGATGACATTGACAAAAAAAGTGAAATATTTTTTTCTAAGGCCAGTTTTACACTATATGAAAATTTCGTATAACAGAATCTTTAGTTTTTGCATCAGAAAATTAAGGGTTGAAAATAAAAAAGTATACAAACCTCGACGGAAAACTTCATTTCTGTCTCGAGGTTGAGTTTATCTCGACGCTTCGCGTCTCGATAAACTATAATAACCTCTCGACCAGCAATGAAGTATTTTCCGTCTCGGATTGTAATATACTATTATTTGCAATCATATATGTAATCTTGTCATTACTGACTTTTTAAAAATTTGGAAGTGACACTTTACCTGTGTCACTCCCTCTTCGATTTCCCTATTCGACTTCCCTCACCGATTTCCCTCACTCTAATTTATTTACCTTTGCTGGCAACAATGAAAACATGTCAGGTAAAAACGTCAAAGCAGCGAATGACACATTTTGGCATGTTTGTTTTATTTTTTTAATAGGTATTAAAAAAATTTATTGGCTAATAATTATTAATGGTGTGCTTGCAAATTAAATAGTATACAAACCTCGGAGGGAAGTTTTCATTTCTGTCTCGAGATTATTAGTCTTAGACTATACAAATCTCTCGACAGTAATGAAACACTTCCCTACTCGGTATGTAATATACTATTATTAAGCTTCGTCAATAAGATAACTTGTTTTTTTTAAAGCCAGCTTTTTTTGTGACTGGTCGTAATAGTTATTTATGTATCAAGGGTACTAAGTAGATGATTATGCCCCGAGGGCGACAGTCTTACAAAGCCGAGGGCCTCTGGCCCGAGGGTTCGTAAGTTGCCCGAGGGTATATATCTATTATAGTACCCGTGGTGCATACAAACTTTTATGTCATGCCTGCGCGGGCCATAATGTGTACTTTATGCCCGCGCGGGCCATAATGTGTACTTTATGCCCGCGCGGGCCATAATGTGTACTTTATGCCCGCAAGGGCATAAAGTAATGAATTATATAGATGGTATCTAAGGTATAAAAACACAATAATGTACTGGTATGACATAAATTATATTTCCACTCGCTGCAATGCCTTCACAAGCGGAAAAATTTCGCCAGAGTGGTTGTATTCTGGCATTTCTTCCCAGAAAATGTTCCAAGATTCGTCCTACTGGATGAGAAAATTCTCTCTGTAAACTGATAGAGCCAATGAAATACAGGAGAAAGTTTAGATTCCACGAACTTGTCAAAAAAAATTACCAATCAAAAGCCCAAAAAGTTAGGTGATGAAACCATAAGAGTTGTTTCACATGATTTGTTTTAAAACATTATTGTTTTGCACGCATCCGTTCACATTTTCTATAAACGTCCTTTAACAAAAACTTTCCCTATCAATGCATCTACAGATGAATTTCTCATCGTGTGTACCGGGCCGGTATGACAACAGATTATTTGTTAAAAACAAAAGGCCGGTTTATGGACGCGTTCAGACCTATCCATTAAAAACAGTAAATGTGTGAAAGGTTTTACTCCGGTTCGTTGCCGGTCCATCAGTTCTCTGGGCCCTTTTACAAAAGGAACATGTGGAAGAGCTCTAGAATACAACTGTCTAGTTCCTGCAGAAGCGCCTGCAATAAGGATAGTTGAATGCATCTGACAAGTTGCAGAAGACTGCTGCCGCACTACACGTCCAATTTAATCATGTCGTTCTCTTTCTTCTTATTTATTCGTTCCTCTTCGCTTTATTTGTACCAAACCTGACTTATTTGGATGACAAAAACAAATTTGAATTTTTAAGGGAAATAAAACTTCAGCAACACCGTGCAAAAAAAAATTATGACTTTATTGTAATACTTACTAATTATTAATAATATGTATAAGCACAATGTGATAAATTTTATTGGGTCTTATAGATTATTAAAATATGAACACTTTACTTCTTAGACTACTATTAATAATATTGCCTTGAAAATTAATTTTGTTACAATCACTAATATACAACTTATATAGGTTTTTTGCAAAAAAAAAAAAATAATTTACTTATAACAAGGTTTCTTTTTTAACTTAAGACTAGATAACTTAAAATGTACACAGCTCAAGCTCTATGTATAGTCACCTATTCCAGGAGAAAATAGGAAAACCTTTAAAACTAGATATCAATGTATATCTAGTAATGTTTAATGTCATTCGAAAGATACATTTGGAAGTATTAGAATCTCCCTGATTTTATGTGTGAGCACCATGAGTTGATACATAGATCTAAATATAAACACGACATAACATTTAGAAACAATTCAAATATACATGAAAAAAATGGTAAAAAAAGAATATGTATATAGAAAAATCGTCAAAAGTCAAGAGAATAAATAAAATTGTGCCTAGATAACTATTTGAAGGAAAAGTGTATAAAGTAGAAGTCATTCAGCCATTGGAGCAATAAAGAAATGATAAAGCACGGAACATTATATTTTTTCCATACCACAAAACAAAACTAGCCAACATAAATAAAATAAAGCGTTGCCAACATGGCTCTCACACAATATAATAAATTATCGATCCTTATCTTGAAGTCTCAGGCAAGTTTTTGAATAACAGCCTAAATATTTTTACGCAAATTATTTCTTTACGTAACAACAAATCTCTCTGCAAAAATCACAAACCAGTTTTAATGGTTTCCTAGATGTTTCAAGCCATTGACAATAGTTTGCAATGTTTACACGAGGTATCTACTCCTGCAATTATATAAAAAGTACCACAAAAACTTATTTATTGTGTCCAACTCATTAACATCAAGTGGCCATTGCAGAGGCAGTGGTGGTCAAAGGTTGCCCAAAAAGAGGTTCCTGAAGGAACCTCCAGTAATTGAACCCTAGGGCTGCAGTTCGCTTCGTCACCTTCGCGACACTGGTTCTAATCTATACACATTAACGCAACTGTCTTGAGTGCCAGAAGCAAGAACCACTTTGTGCGGATGAAAATTGAGACAATTGACGGGTCCAATTTTTTGACCCATAAAACCTTCATAAAAGCGTATAGTGTTCAAGGAGCTGCCATTTAAGCTATATATACTTATAAATTGATTTGAGGAGCCGCACGCATACAAGTTAGCACTTCTATGAATTGCCATGCAAGACATGCCATAATTGTGCACTGCTGAGTTTGTATGCAACGACTCGTTTTTTCTTAAATCGTAAAGTTTAACATCACCGTCAGAGCTTCCACTAATAACTAAATTGTCTTTCAGTTGTACGGTGAGTACTGTGCCACTGTGTTCTATCCAAACTTTCGCTTTGGCATCTTGAGGAGAACATCTCCTATCGAACAGTCTCACTGAACCATCCGCACAGCCTGCCAGAGCATAACCCATTTTGGGACTTGCCTCAAAATTACTATTATCTGGTAACGACCTTCGCTTTCTATAAATTAAAGGAGTTATATCTAAGCTAGGTCCCGCATATGACGCATCTATACAAGTTATGGAAGCATCTGTGCCACTGGGAATATCAAACGCTTTCATTTCTCGTTCGATGTCCCAAAACCTTAGCACTCTAGTATCACCCGTAGTTATAACAGTTTGTGTCCATTGTTCCCAAGCCACTAGCACACCAGTTTGCTTGGTTTTAAAGTTGCTGAAAGCTTGCCATGCAGAAACTAAAGTGGGTGCACGAGCACCGACAACATGAGGTCGCCATACTTTTACACTACCATCGTCAGCTGCTACCAATAACAGTGACAAATCATGGCCATTTATCCATTCTAAAGCGGAAATTTTCGCTGTACGGCCTTTCACGGCGGATTTTTGTTGATAAATGGTTGTTTTAGCTGCTGTACCCCAGTCCCATATTGCAAACCAATCATTACCAGCAACAGCTAATTGTTGGTTGAACGGGTGTAATTGTAACAGTTGCGGAGGCGCTCCCGTTCTTGTATGGAACACTTGTGACTCTATTCTTGAAGTAACTGCTCTCTTTTGTTCTTCTATAGCTTCAGCTCTAAGATTTGTATTTCTAGATCGTCTCCAATCCCGCTCATAATATTGCAAAGATTCGAGGTCGTGAATTACACGTTCCTGTTTAGATTTTATCACAAACTGCTTGCATGACCACATAACAAAGTTAGTACTAACCAAAGGTTTCCTGAGCTGGTATTTGTGATCAGGATCGTCAATGGAAGTCTTTTTCCGCCTTGTTTTATTAGTAACTGCAGATCGACTGAGATTTGCCTGGAAGTCGCCACTTTGATACATAGAGGGAGGGCTCTCGGTTGACAAGAATCCTCGATTGGGACTAGGAGGCAAGCTTATACTGGAATTTTTACTTTCAACTAACTCAGATTGTTCTTTGACCATTGATCTAATATGTTCCAACACAGTTGAGCACATCTGTGCAACTTCTGTATGAGGATCAATTTCTAATTGACACATAGCTGCCCAGATTTTCATATAAACTGATCCAAATCCTAGACCTGGCAACATTCCCAAACTGCCACCATAGCTATTGGACATACCAGGACTTGCAGCATTATTTATTGTTGGACTTGATGGTATTCTTCGAAAAGTCCCCAAATCAGGTTGAGTCAGTCTATCTCTACTAGCATTTCTCGGTAAAGTGTTACTGCCATGGTTTTCTGGAGAATTTAGTCCTTCCTTTGAAGCAACAGCTGCAAACGATACATCAAATGCTAATATTAACCACTGCAATGCACAGACGATCTCTTTTCTTACTAAAGGACTGGCCTCATTGCCCACATGATTCACTAAAGTCATTCCTATAGAATGATCAATATTATTTGCATGTTCGGATCTTCTTATAACAGCATTAATGAAAGTTCCTAAGGCATATACTGCAGCTGCTCTAACTTCAGGGTAAGGATCTTTCAATAAGGTATAAAGTTTCTCATGAGCAGTATCCCTTACACCAGTCCATCTAGCAGTCTCATAATTATCCCATAGTCTTCCCAAGCATATAGCAACCCATCTTCTTAAATGTGGACTAGGATCTGTTATCTGCTCTAAACAAATACTAACTAAAGAGCCTTGAAGAGCAGCCTCTTGTCCATCTTTATGGTTGTTTACCAAGCAAGACAAAATAAATGTAGCTTGACTTCGTGTTTCAGAAGACATTGTGGAATCTTGCAAGATCGACAGGAAATATTTATGTCCTTGTTCTCTTAACAAATCTCCTTGACAAGTAGTATCAACTGCTAAAATTTTTGCCCAAATATACACGAGCAGCGGTCTTAGCTCCTTGGCAAAACTCTGTAGCAATTTCAAAACGTAAGGAAAAATGCCCACAGACAGTGCCAAGTTAATCGCCCAAGGGCCTAAGTCCAAAAATCGCCCCAAAAGTTCCAAAGCCCTTGTCCTATGTACCTGACTGAGTAACACCTGTAAAACTATTGGCAGTTGCTCGGGTGGTTTGCGATGTTCTGATCCCAGTGCTAGCCAAACTTGGAATGCTGTTAATTGGTCCTCGAAGAAAGAAATATTTTTAAATTGAGCTTCACCTTTTAAAATTGCTGGTAATTGACTTAGGCATAAGTCCAGCACTAAATCCCATGCGTCCCACATAGGATGTTGGTAAGTAGGAGGTAAAGCAGGTGAAGATATTGGTGTGCAATCACAAGACCTCATAATTCTTTCCGCCAATAAATAATTACGAAACAGGCTTGCCACTAGCAAATCTTGTCGAAAAAGCTTCTGGAAAAGCTCTCTAGGCAAAGTATTCCAGGCGATCGTATCCGTGATAGCTGTGAATATCCAATTCAGTTCTCCAAACATGGATTTTCTATCGGTGATATTACCAGGTACTTTATCGACCATATCCAAAGTTACATGAGGAATAAGTTTTGCTGTTGGTTGTAGAACGCACCAGCGCAATGCTATTTTTATAGGGGTTGTCAAACAGGAAGTGAAGAGATCTGCAGGCAAATCAGGATTCATTGGCAATTGCTGATTGGCGGCACATGCAGCTAATTGGATGCATTCGTTGAATGAAGGCGGTGGTGGCGGTCCGGGACTTCCTCCTCTTGAAGAATTCGAAGCAAGAGATTGCTGATATTCTGATTCATGTTGCGCAGCAAACGTTTTGAATGAATCTACAATGATGCCTGCGCTGGGGCAATCATAAACATAAATGGATGGTGCCCCCATCCAAGTTTGTAAGTCATAAATACTTAACGGAATGTATTGAGTGTAAGTACGATTAAACACCCAAATTTCACCATTAGTTGTTGGTTTAGGAACTCCGTGTCCATTGTAATGGAATAACACCCGTTCTTCTTTGGCATTGCGCCTTAAAGACAGGCATAATTTTTTTACCTCATCACCTGTAGGATCCAGTGACTGTTTGTATCGCGCTCTAGGTTGCCATCTTTCATATTGGCCCTGTAACGCTTGGCCTATGTTTTCTAGAGCTTTCGGACCAGACATTGAGAGAGGATCGATCCAGCATTCTAGTCGGGCACAAGGTTGAGTTTTCATTATATCCGGAGGGTCTACTCCGACGTTTAAACACAACACCAAGGCAACACTCACAGTCTTCATGCGTTCTTTCATGCGCCATGTTTGAGTTTTCCAATCGATACCTTCGATTTTGTCGATATGTCGTTCATCTGAGTATGCTAATGGTAAATCATTGTCAGTCAATTCTAGCTTCTTTAATTCGTCAATGAGATTTCTTTCGCTCCATGCTTCTACTGCCAACTCGTCCATGGTTGATGATTGAATTTTTGAGGTGTTTGGTATTAAATAATAAGATATTTGGATTCTCTTACATCACACTTACTGCTTCATTTTTGTTTCGAATTATTCAGGCTTGGATGTAGGAATACCTGTAACAAAGTAAAAAAACCTTGCAATAATTTCAATACTTTTGGGGCTACAATGAGAGTTTTCTTTTGTTTAATTAAAACTTAGCATTCCCATTCAGATTACCATTTTTCTTTATAATTTACTTGAACGATCTATTGAAATTAGTCGCGGACTCACATGTTATGTCATATGCAGATGATACTGCAATCATCTGGTCAAATCAAGATATAGTTGGGCGGGTCTAAAGAAGAAAGCTAACAAGTCAATAAATAAAATAGCATCGTGGCTAAGGAAAAATAGACTTCAAATACGATAGGAAAACTAAGTTTTTGTTGTTTAGTACTTATAGACAAAGTTCCTGATAGCCTTAGAATAGTTATGATAAGGAATAAGGATGGGGATTGTATAGGTGCATCTGCAGACCATTGAAATGTACTAGAAGTACTAAGTACTCGAAGGAACATATAATTGGTTTGAATAAGAAAATTCTATATTTAACCTTTTTTTTTGCAAACCCTAAAAATGTATAACACACAAAAACCCTGTTGGGACTGTTGGTGATTTATTACGCCCTCTTATTTGAAACATATGGTATAGTCTCCTTGGGGTATGCATACAACAATGTGATAAACTATACATAATACAAAATATACAGAATAAAATAATTAATAGTTATTTATGATATAAGTGCTAAAAGTGACATTTTATTTTGTCAAAAGGGAAGTTTGGAACACGACGCCGAAGGCGGAGTGTTCCATCCCTTTGAACAAAATAAAATTACTTTTAGCACGAATATCATACACTATTTTTTCTACAAACGCACTAAAAGTGATTACTTTTAGCACTAGTGCTAAAAGTAATCACTTTTAGCACCAGTGTCATAAAATGGTATTTTAGACACTGACATCATGCGTTAAAAATGACACTTTTAGTGACGTTTGTAGAAAAAACTATTTTTAGGATAAAAATGAGAGCCTAGAGCAAACCAATAAATAATATACATTTAAGGTGATATTGACGATTGGACTCTGAAAAATCAATTTGTAAATAGACAAACAAACACTAAAAACTCGTCTAAAAACAGAGATATTCCATGTATAAAAACACTTTTAGAGGTGGGTAATAAGTCATTCGAAGTGAATGTTATTAAACTTTTTAATTTATTACCAAACAATTTTTTGAAATGATTAGATATTAACAAATTACAATGTATTTTAAAGGAATTTTTAATAAATGGAAATATCACCAATTTATAGCTTTTTGAAATTTTGTTCGTAGTCTAAGCAGTTGTTTTGATTTTATAGAAACGCCAGCTAACTGTGGGTGTTTTTTAGTGAGTTGAGAATTTATCAGATCAGATTTTTTGCTAAATAGTTAAAGCCTATGGTGTCAGGGAAAATGGTTTGAAGATGCTTTACTTGACCTAACTAATCGACAGTGTGGCTGATGTAGCAAAGTCTTCATTTCAGAGCCAAATATGCTCCAAATGGCTTAACCAAAAATGTGCAAACAATGTAAATATTTTTTAAATTGGAAAGTTGTGTTCTTTGACAATATAAAAGTTATATCGAGGGAAACCCGCCAGCTAAATTTGTTCAATGAATACATGGATTACAAAGGAATACATAAGAATACAAGAATACATAGAAATATGTACCATCGCACCCAAAGTATCTGGGACGAAAATAATGTATAATAATCTCCTGGACTATTTCTACCTTCATTCATTTAAATGCATTTGAATCATAGTTTGACAGATATTTGACAAAAAATTCATATAATAGTACAAGAGCTGATATGATGCTGTCCTAGTTACTTTTGATAACGATGGTACATATTATGACTACGGAGTATCTGAAAATACATAGCAATATAAGAGAATATATGAATAAGAATACATAGGAATACATACGATTGCAATACAGAGCTCTACACAAAGGAGCGCATGTAACTTATTATTCCTGAAAAAGAATATGCTGTATTTAAAAGAACGGCCATTGGGCCAAGCAAAAGAGTTCCAGTCGTTTGGTAAATTTTAGGTTACAATAAATTTATTTTATGTACGACCCACGCTGTAAGAGCTTATTGCGTGACTCATTTTAGCCTGTTTGAGTAATGTAATAAGTTGTATTATCGTACTAGTGATGTAATGAGCTCATTAGGTAACCCATTTTTATTGAAAAACGGCACGTTTTAAAATTGATTTATTCGAAAAAACTATTAATATAATCTATTGTGAAAAATTAAAACCATTTCGAATACATAAAAAAATATCTGAGTCGTACAAAAAATGTTGTATATTACACGTCACACGTACGGTAACGCTTATTACACCACTACGACCTCGTCTCGGCAATATTCCCCACTCGTTACTGTAAAGAAGCTCATACCGTACTAGTAATATAAATAACTAAGAATGAATTGGAATTAAGTACAGGGTGGCCCATTTTCGATGTTTTAATAGGCTATATCGAAAACTAGCAGAGATATCAAAAATCTGGGAGCACATTCTCGAGCTCTTTTTTTGAGAAAATAACAATGGCGAAGACAAATCAAGGCTAACTTGATGCGTTTACGAAATACAGGGCACTTTTCAAATTTTGTCCAATTTTAAAAAACTCTCTAATATCCTTATTATTCAAGATATCCAAAAACGAAAAATACTTTCTTTAGGCAGTTTTTTAAGGAGAATCCAGTGGTATAGCCAATTTTTCTCCAGATGCCTCCGATTTTGGAATATTGACCCAAGTTGTGTTTTTTTAAATGGGACACCCCGTATATTATTTTTTCATTGAATAGCTCTTTGTGAGCTGATTTCAATGATATAAGGTTTTATACCTTTACCTTCTAGAATTTTGGAGAAAAAAAAATTCTTTCCTTCTTTTTTTTACTGTGTTATTGAAAAATTATAAACATTATTGGTTTTAGGATGCCCAAAGATGACAAAATCGCAAATAAAAAATCCAGGTCCGTATTTAAGAAAAGTAAGTTGATGGCCGCCTGAAGACGAAACGTCGAATTTTAAATTTAGTAGCACTATCTTCTAAAGGGGAAAAAGTGACAATGATGAAGTGACCTTTATTTTAAAATTGGTCTACAAATAAGCCCGGGAAAAAATAAAAACGATTTTACAAAATTTCGGTTTTTTTCCGAATATCTCCGGAAGTATTCGGAATCTTTCTAATTTCAAAACAACATTCTATTGGCCATAAAATTACGCAACTTTGCCATAATTTAACCGACCCTGTATCTCTTACGGTTTCCGAGATCCCAATAATGAGGCTCGAATTTGAGCCACCCTGTACAGGAAAATAGGCTTCTCATTGATGCTCAGGCAGGATTTAGAGTCGAACATTCCTGTGAGAGCGCCATGCAGACAGTTATTTCTAAATGGAAAATTGCACTGGACTGCAAAAAATTAGTTGGAATAGTTTTCCTGGACCTCCATAGGGCTTTTGAGACAATCAATAGAAAATTATTGATCAAAAAGTTACACGAATATGGTCTCGATGGAAGTGTGTTAAATAGGGTAGTGGATAATTTTTTGAAATATTTTTTTTATTAATTTTCACAACAAAATAAATAGTAGTTGATGATTCTATGATTTTAGAAAACAAAAATAAAAATATACCTAAAAAAAAATTAACGAAGGAGGCACAATTTACATTGAAAATAGGCCCCCATAAATTTCAACCAAATTTCAATATTTTGAAGGTATCATCATTGCAAGAAAAAAATTGAAATGTAAAGAGGATCGTATGTCTGTGATAGCAGATATGGCTCATCAAGTTATGAAGGTCCTGCTATTATGCTATGCATAGGAAATATCCCTACGTAGATTTTCTTGAATATCTCCATCGACAGGAACCGTTTATTTGTATCAAAAATTAGCATGACAACCATGTATACAATAACATGGGAGAATTATCGCTGTAATTCTCTCTAGTTAAACAAATGGAAAAGAGAATTTTCGCTGTAATTCTGAAAATCGTCACTTGTCTTATGGGATTTCTAACACATGAGTGGAATAATCATGCATATCTTAATTATTTTCCTTCGGGTTTTGCTTGCAGCTTTGATTTTGATTATTCAATAAAATATTTGTTTACTACATAGGTACGTAAACTATTAAGTCGGGCACAAACTAGATATTTTTTTGTGTTCTTTGGTCCATGTGTGGCCGCCACGCCATCTTGAATGTCACGTGGTTTGTAAACAAATATGGCGGAGAACATGTAATATTTTGACGTTCAGCATTGTATTTATATGCATTCGTATTTCTTTCGCTAATTTTCTCGTTCTCGTTGTTCTTGTAGTTTTTTCGGTGTTTTTTTATTATATTTTATAAATTTTGAACGTTGTGACTTTCTTTTGTGCATTTCGTATCCATACAACACGAAATATGGAAAATGGTGGCCTGTTTTTGAGTTTGGCCACAGTTCTATCCTACCTGCAGGCTGGCGTAGAAAGCACGATCACTATTTTTCTTAGGAAAATAATGAAAATAAATAGTTCTGTCTGCACCTTTTCGGGAATGGCATTCGTATACACAGCAGTTTGTGTTATGCTTGGACCGCTTGGACTTGGAGGCAGATGCCATTGAATTCCTGTAATAATAGCACCTCACAGAATCACAATAAAAGCTTTCCTTTATTATTTCCTCGATTATTTCCCACTGTTCGACACAAAACACGTAATTTAAATTAGGAACGAACAGGAAGCATCGAAAAAGCAAGAAAATATTCCTCAATACGGTATGTAAACAGCAATCTATTACTTGTTAAATTAGTTCTAAATATTTCCGCCAGGTGCCGCATTGATTTTTGAAATCGCCAATTGACCCAGATATTTTTTCATTATTCAGCTACTTAGGGAGAGAAACTCAATTTTTTCCTAGAAAAATAGATTGAATAATGACTATTTCCAACGACGTAACCATTGCTTTTACATGGGGGGGGGGGGGGGGGGTTTAGAATAGTGACGGTTCGTGGTCTATGCTGGAAAGGGTTTCAATTTTAGATCAGCGATGTATTAGGTATCGGGTCTTCAAAAAAAAAAACCAATCAAAGATTGCTATGGTTTTTTAAACGTATGTCTTAGCAATATTTTTCTTTAATTTTGACAATGTCAGTCAATGAAATTTAATGTCAAAATGTCATGTCAAAAATCCTGACCAATAAAGAAACAATAATGCGACGTACGTTTTCGTAACCAAAGCAATCTTTGATTGGTTTTTTTTTTGAAGACCCGATATAACCTGGCAGGGTTTGACCGATACGTTTTTTTTTTTTTAAACCGATATTGCCGATACCGATACGATATGGATTTATAGAAGGCCGATACCGATATAAGGCCGATATATATTTTTCCTACGAGCGTGCGCAAAGTAGTACTTTTCCGCACGTATTTCCGGGCTCAAAGTTACACTTTTCCGCACTCAGTGCGGATACAGGCCTTATCCGCACTGAGTGCCGAAAAGTAATTATAATTGTCAAACAACAATAAGTGCACCTGTCGACTTTGACACATGATGACAAATTTTTCCTCTGTTTCTATATCAGCCAACATCTATACAAACACCAAAAATAAATTAACTTTGACACATTGTCAGATTTGTTCTCTATTTATATGCAAAAATCTACACATTTTCTCATCAAATTTAAACGCTTTAAGATGAACAGCTCTGACGAGGATTTTCTGTTATTTTTTTTTGTTATGTAATTTTTTGATAAATGCATAGGTTCCCTTCAAGTTAATTAAAAATAATTAAACAAATTATCGTTTTTTTTTTTTAATTTTTGTTATTACCTACCTGATATGAAGCTCGAAGGAAAAATTTTGTTCCTAACACGTGCGCAAAGTGTCTTTTCCGCACGCAAACACGTATCCGAACTCCGCTTCGCGTCGTTCGTATAACTGTGTTTGCGTGCGGAAAAGTAACACTTTGCGCACTTGTTAGGAAAATAACTATATCTGTTTTCTCCAACCTTTTCCTTTAGTTTGAATGTTTTATTTATTTGTTTTCTCCTAGTTTTAATATTGTTTGTTCAAGTTCAGATAAGCAGAAAGTTTAGTTTTTTTTTTTAATAAATATATAATTTTGAATTTGAGTTTAGATAAGCAGAATGTTAAGTTTGTTTGAATAAAAACCTAATTAATTTAAAATAAATTTATGAGAAACAATTTCTAATATTGACTTTTTTCTTAGTCACTCCCATATGTACCAACCACAATTATTAGCTCTTTTAAGCTTCAAAAAAGCCTTAGTGATGATTACTGATCTTCAAAATATGATTTGTATCGGTCTAAAGTTATCGGCCAATGAAGGGCCGATATGCCGATATACCTGAAAATGGCCGATAAGCCGATATGCCATATCGGTATCGGTCGATCCCTGTAAGCTGGCATAGCCGCCGGAGGATATCGCCGTAAAATAAAGTGCTACTTTATTTTACTAGTAAAATAAAGTGCTACTTTATTGCCTACCTGGACTACCTGATAAGGTGAAACACTCGGTGAAACAGGTCCTGACAACCTGCCAAAGTGAAACAGGTCCTGACAACCTGCCAAGGTGAAACAGGTATACCTACGCGAATTTTTTTTTTACTTTTTTCATTCAATTTTTTTAATTTTTAACAAAAACCAGTCAAAATCGTACATAAAATCATGTATATAACGCTTACATAAACAGGCTTTATTGACTCATTATTTAATAGCCTCGCTCGCAAGCTCGCTCGGCCATAAAATTATTCCTACAATAAAGCCTTACTTTATGTACTTGTTATATACTCATACTCATACTCATACTCATTATGCTTTATTGTCCAAAAAATATAAATCTTTACTGACAAAGCGGATAATATAATATACTAATTTATATACTAATCTACATTAATAGTTATACGAATTACACAAAATCACATAAAAATCTTAAAATTCCTAAAATAAACATAAGGCCAAAGAATGACTAATGAATAAATAGCTATTTTTTTTTAAAGATAAAAGTTAAAATGACGTTATGTTGGCAATACAATGTAAAATTGTCAATGCTCTCAAATATTTTATGTACAAAAGGCTTGTGTTGCCAACATAGTTACTACATTTTTGACTTGAGGAATTATCTTTAAAAAAAAACAGACTTTACATGAGTCTTTTTTACTGGAATACATTGGCGATTGGCGGTTTACTATCTATAAACATTGAAACAAATTTTCCTTCTGTTATCTATACTTAGAGTCTGTTTTTTTTTAAGATAATTCGAAAGCATTGACAATTTTACACTGTATTGCCAACATAATGTTATTTTGATTTTTATCTTTGAAAAGAAAACAGACTTTATTCCTATGGTTAGATGCATGATGCATGGATTCAGTTGAATATGTTTCTTGTTTTTACTAGAATGACATATTAGAGACCTCTGTCATTTGAGATTAAAGCCGAGTTGTACAATCTTGGTTCAAAACAGAGTTCAGCTAAACTTGACTGGTACTTGAACTTTCCGATTTGAAATGCATTGCTGTCAAAAATGATAGAATTTGATTAATAGCTGACAGCAATGTATTTCAAATGGGAAAGCTCAAGTACTAGTCGAGTTCAGTTAAACTTTGTTTTAAACGGAGATTGTACAACTGGGCCTAACTATTGGAAGTTTTACAGCATAAATAAAAGAAAAAGATATAAATAATACATAAATCTATATTTGTCCTTGATTTTTGAGGCTATTTATGGTTTATAAATCAATCGTTTATCAAACTTAACTTGAACTTTACCATACGTTTTTTTACAACAAAAAACGTAAATTTTCTCAACAAGTAATAAATAAAAGCCTAGATAGATAAAACTATTTAAAAAAACTTAGCAAAATAGGAAACACTCTAGGAAACATTATTGGAATCTAGGAAAAATCTATGCCTAATACAAAAAGTGCCAAATATGATTTATAAGAGATTTATTTAGAGATACTCTACCTAATCTTTGAACTTGAAAAAAAAAAAATAAGGATTGATTTCTGGCAAGTGGGGAAGACAAGCATGGCTATTAAGATGCATTTGAAAATGAAAGTACCATTATTATACGTAAATACAATTTCCTCGACAAATTCAAGTATTTATTTTGGAATAAATAAAATTTAGAACATAATTTTAGGTAAATTAATTCAAAACTTACAGATTGGTCCTATAAAAAATAAATAAAACGCAAAAAAACTTCACCCATAACAAACTTTTTGGTTAATGTAAATGTGTAATTTGTGTACTAGTGTACTCGCTCTGCTCTACAATCAGGGCAGAGAACCAGTTCGGCATTGACATTTCGACGACTTTCGATTTTGGTTTGGCAACGTTGGGTGAGTTCGGCTTGCTCACTCCGTGCACTCGGAGTGACTCCATTCGCACTCCAGCCGTTCGGGTTAAGGTTTGGGTATTGCTTTTTACGGTATCAGGGGTGACTCCATTAGCTCTGTTCACTCCACTCCAACTCCGCGCTGAATAGCCGAACTCACCGGTTGTTGGAGGCCGGAAAATTTCCATTCCACGCTGTCCCGGGCTGCGTTCAGGAATGGCTACAGCCAAGCCAAAATTGGCATTTTGCGTTCGAGTTCGGCTCCAAACTAATGTCTGCCCAGCGACTCTGTGTCTACGGGGCAACGGTAAGGGGAATGCAGTTGTAAAAAAAAATGGCTGATTTCATTCATAAAATACCCAGCTGCGTGCGGAACTTTTTGGAAGTTTTATCGTATTGCAACTCCTACACGAAAATCGAAAATGACCAAACCCCCGCCACTGGATATTTAAATATAAATCGATATTCCAAGATGGGAGGATACAATGACGGAAGCCCTGGCCAATAGCGAGATGTAAGGTGACGTTAGCCCATTGACAACGACATGGTTCCCCGTGGCAACGGCCATCCTGCCAAAAACTCCGCCAATCAGGTTCATCCAGGCCGGATGCTTGCCAAATTGTCAAAAACTGATGGTATCTTTAGAAAATGTTTATTTTTTACAATGGACAAAATTGAAGAAATCAGTTATTAGAATAAGAATAGAACTAACAACCACGTTGAAATATTTAGCGTTATATTTGGTATCTATATTTTGCTATTAAAAAATGGATTTTCAAATGAACTATACTACATGCCTAGTATTTTCTCTTTGTCATAATTAAACGTGACAACATGGAACATTCACGTCCGAATTCCTTCCGTAGACTCAGATCCGCTGGGCAAACAATACGTGGTTCGGCATTACAGGTGGAGGGGGAAAAGTAGGTTTTGGCATTAGCATTGCCGTCCTTGAACGCACTCCCGGTCAATTTAAAACATGATTTGGTGCAGGTGCAATCCTAACACTCTCGAACTTGGGGTTGGAATGTTCCTCTAATGAAGATTTCCTTTGCTATTGTGAAATGAAATAGATTAGATATTGGGAGGTTGCCAAAATGTCATAAAACAAAAATTCCAAAGTACACCAGGGACCAGTGCCGCACCAAGAACCCCGTCGCCGCACCACCTGGAAGAGCAGTGCAGAAGCGGAACCCGAGCTGTTTTCTCGCATTCACTTTTTTGAAACTGATTCGAAAAGGTTTAAAACAGTATATTCAAACGATGAACCCATGACGTCACAAAATTGGTTAAAACCATTTCGAAATACAATCCACTTCACGTTTTCAAACGCTCGGAGCAAAAATTGCCGCACAGTGTTCTACAGCACCAGAACGGCCAAATACTAAATGAAATCGCTATGATAGGTTTCTGAGCTTGAACCTGCGTAGTTACCTTGAACGTAAGTGCGGTAACCTCACTATTTTTATTTTTGAAGTGGTGATTTATTTTTATTTGTTGTGATAATTATCGTTTACAGTTTCACCACATTTATGTTTCACTATACACTACGGTTTCGTGAAAACTAATAAATAAATAAAACATATTTTATCTACCCGATATTATTTCAATCGAGATTTCAATTTTACCATGGACGACGACGGAGTTCACAGACTAGCAGGGACATCAGGAAACGAGAAAGGAGGACTAATAATCAAAAAGAAAGATAAGGAATCCACATTCAAGGTACCAAAACCCTCTCTTCTAGGCCTAGATCGTTTAGCAGCCCAAAAACGTAAAGATAAAGAAGATGCTGCTAGAAAAATGTCTTTTTCGATAGAAGATGAACATGGCGACGCATCGGGCGACAGCCCAAGAAGCATCAGGGAAAAACCTAGTATCGGACGAAAGTTCAGATCACCAGCTGAAGAGACTCCTACGTACACTGGTGGTGTAACAAAAGAAGCTCGAGAACGACTCCTAGAACGAGAAAAGGATAAGTATAAAGAAAAAGGAGTTTACGCAACAACAAAGAATAAAGAAAGAGAACAAGATTCTAGAGGGTATGATGATTACCATAGATACAAAGACAGAAGAGATAGAGACAGAAAACATAATAGAGATAAGCATAAGGATTACAGTAAAAGTGAAAGAAATATAGAAGGTAGTTCTCATAGGGACAGGTCAGAAAGAGATTCGTCTAAGTATCGAGATGAACCAAAAACCCCAAATGTAAGAGGTAGTAGAGATTCGGTAGCAAGAACTTCATGGGAGGATGATGAGGATGATCCCCCCACAAAAAAATCATCATGGGACTTTCCTACTCCAAATGTTTATAAAAGATATGATGGTAGTTGGTCAGACAGGAGTTCAAGATCAAACCTAGAAGGTAGTGAGTCATCTAGAAGAAATGATAAAAACTGGATTGATTGGAAATCTAGCAGAAAATTTGTGGATGATAGTGTAAGGGCTACTCCGGCACATAAATATAATGCTTGGATGAAGGATAGAAAGAGAACTGGAGCTACACCAGGTCTTGGTAAGGATGGTAAAGAACACGTTAAATGGGATGCCACAGAAGAAAGAGAAAATTGGGAGGAAGAACAAAAAAGATTGGACAGAGAGTGGTACAATATGGGCGAAGGATATGATGATGAAAATAATCCATTTTCCAGTGTCAGTGAAGAATACACTAAAAAGAAAGAAGAACAATTGGAACAGAGAAAAAAGAAACGATTAAGTGCTCAGCAAAGGCAAATAAACAAGGATAATGAATTGTGGGAGAAGAATAGGATGTTAACATCAGGGGTAGTACATTCAGTAGATTATAATGAGGATTTCGATGAAGAATCCATAGACAGAGTCCATTTATTAGTACACAACATCGTTCCACCATTTTTAGATGGTAGAATTGTTTTCACCAAACAACCGGAGCCAGTTATTCCTGTTAGAGATCCCACTTCAGATATGGCCTTAGTAGCACGCAAAGGTTCACATTTGGTAAGGGTTTTTAGAGAACAAAAAGAAAGACGCAAAGCCCAGAAAAAGCATTGGGAATTGGGCGGCACTAAAATAGGTAACATTATGGGCATAAAGAAGAAAGAAGATGAGGAAGACAAAAAATATAATAAAGAAGATGATAGTACTGATTATAAAGCTGATCATAAGTTTGCTGAGCATATGAAAGGTAAGAATAAGAAAACCTGAGCTTTTTTTTAGAGTTTTAGTTAGCTAGCAAGGTAATAGTATATTACATACCGAGGTGGGAAGTGTTTCATTACTGTCGAGAGATTAGTTAGTTAACTGAGACGCGAAGCGTCGAAGTTAACTATAATCTCGAGGCAGGAATGAAACTTCCTACCGAGGTTTGTATACTATTTTATTTACAACAATTACAACCCTCATAATTTCGACTAAATACTAAAAAAGAATCTAAAAATGTATTGACAAGTTCTGACTCATTTAAAAAAACGTTTGACATGCAGGACTCGTCTTAAACATTTTAGGAGATGAGAACTTACTTTCCACCCGGGTGGATAGTAGGGAAAATACCCTTCAATACTCCAACAGATTCGGTCAATCGAAAGATTAGGTAATAAAAAGTAAAGTATTGTAATTTTATTTTCTTGCAATGTACCAATAAACTATTTTTATTTGACTAATTAACTTATTTATTGTAGGAAGCAATGAAGCTTCTAGTGATTTTGCCCGAAAGAAAACCATATCTGAACAAAGACGATACCTACCCGTTTTCGCCTCACGACAGGAACTTTTAAACATTATAAGAGAAAATAATGTGGTCATTATTGTTGGAGAAACTGGCAGCGGTAAAACGACCCAGCTAACACAATACCTTCATGAAGATGGTTATAGCAAATATGGTATGATTGGTTGCACTCAACCAAGAAGAGTGGCAGCCATGTCGGTAGCTAAAAGAGTGAGTGATGAAATGGGCACAACACTTGGAGATGAAGTGGGTTATGCTATAAGATTTGAAGATTGCACTTCTGAGAATACTGTTATCAAATACATGACTGATGGTATTTTGCTAAGAGAAAGTCTTAGAGAACCAGATTTGGATCATTACAGTGCAGTCATAATGGACGAAGCCCACGAAAGGTCCCTTAGCACTGACGTTTTGTTTGGATTGTTGAGAGAAATTGTAGCTAGAAGGCATGACTTAAAATTAATTGTCACTTCTGCCACTATGGATAGTAGTAAATTTTCTATGTTTTTTGGCAACGTGCCTACTTTTAATATACCTGGGAGGACTTTTCCAGTGGAAACTTTATTCAGTAAAAACCCAGTTGAAGATTATGTAGATGCTTCTGTAAAACAGGCTTTGCAGATTCATTTGCAGCCACCTTCTGGAGATATTTTGATCTTCATGCCTGGGCAAGAAGATATTGAAGTGTCCTGTGAGGTAGGTTAACAATCTATTGTTTGATGAGTTTTGAAGAACAGTAGAAGAATAAAGCGTTAAAATGTATTACTAGGTATATCATGATTTAAAATAAAGAAACTGAATAAGGTATACTCCTTTATTACTTTTTTAATTTAGACATACATACTGACTGCAATTAATCTATAATCTTCTATATATATTTTTATTAATTTTTCCATTTTTTTGACCAACACTTGTAGGTTCTAGCTGAACGCCTAGCTGAAATCGACAACGCCCCCGAGCTATCAATTCTCCCAATTTACTCTCAACTGCCTTCGGATCTACAAGCGAAAATTTTCCAGAGATCTCCGGAAGGCATAAGAAAGTGTGTGGTCGCTACAAACATTGCTGAAACTTCGCTTACAGTGGACGGTATTATTTTTGTAATCGACAGTGGCTACTGCAAATTGAAAGTTTACAATCCTAGAATTGGTATGGATGCTTTACAAGTAAGAATTTTGTCAGTTTTTCACTAAAAAAATGCTATCTACTGTTTTTTTTTTTTTAAGATTTATCCCATTTCCCAAGCTAACGCGAATCAACGTTCAGGTCGTGCTGGACGTACGGGTCCAGGACAAGCATTTCGCCTGTATACAGAACGTCAATACAAAGACGAGCTGCTGATAACTACAGTACCAGAAATACAGCGTACTAATTTGGCTAATACGGTGCTCCTGCTTAAATCCTTAGGAGTTCAGGATTTGTTGCAGTTTCACTTCATGGATCCACCTCCACAGGATAATATATTGAATTCGCTTTATCAGTTGTGGATTTTGGGAGCATTAGATCATACAGGTAGGAATATTTTTTGATCGATCGATCAACTTGGTAGTGGGTTAAAATTATCAGTGTCGTTTCAAACTTCTTTCTCTAGGTTTCTCTCTCTATGTGGGGTTACACAGACAAAGTAACCTTTCATGCATAGAAACCGAGGGGCCAACCACTCACGAAAAAGACTTACATTGATTTCCAGTTTCTGGGAATACTTCTCAAATTTGTATAGTATTTCCAAGTAAGGTGAACTTGGTCAACTGTAACAATGAGGTAACTGGGCTATATACCAGTGTTTGGCTTATTATTCATTACAAGTGTTTCTCATTTATACCTTGCATGTAGTAGAAAGCACGCCGCCGGATTAGTTTCTGAGGAAAAAAGATGAAATTTGTTACTTTTACAAAGTGTATCCTCATAACAACAAGTGACAGAAGTTTGAATCTTAATTAATAGTTAGTGATAACAGTCACAGCCTCCTACATTTAACAAGCCATGAAGTTAAAAAGGCAACACCGCAATCTTACTGCCAAGTGGTGCTGGTGGTGTTTGTTTTTATAAATATACAGGGTGTCTCTAAAAGGTCTTTACAAAATCATAGCACATATTCCCAAGGTCAAAATAAGTCGATTTGAAGCAACTTACCTCAGTCCGAAATTGCTCCGTTTCCGAGATACAGGGTGGTAAAGTTGAAAAATCAAAATCGAATTTTTCAAAATTTATGAACACATCTCGATGGATTGCTCTAAAAATTGGCACCTAGGGGTTTTTTGGGACGCGAAACCCGAATATCGACACCTTTTAACTATGGCCGCTAGATGGCGCTTCACAATGCTCTTCTTATGGTTTAAAATGGCCGTAACTTTTTTCTCAGTGTAATTTTTCACTTTTTTTGGTAAGTAAATAATTGTGTCAACATTTTCAGACAAAAAAGGTATGCTTGTCATAATCCGTTTAAGTGAGCCTTCTGTGAGATATTTCCGTTTTTGTTGTCCGATGCCGCACCGAAATTATTGAAATTATTTTGAATAAAAAAAAAATTTCAGTACCTTTAGGAATGAAAAGTGGTCAGTGAATTACAAATGCGAATGTTTTCATTTGTTCGAATGTTCCTTGGACCAAAATAAGGTGATTTAAGCAAACTTACTTTATTACAAAGTTGCTTAGTTTGGGCGCTATAGGCCCCGAAGTGACAATTTTAAAATAGTTTTTTTAATAAACTTTGAACAGTTTGTTCGATTTTGCTAAAATTTGATATGGTGGCATAGCTTCACGTGGCAAAAACACCGATATCAAAATTATTGATAATACAGTCCATGGGCGGAGGTCTAGGGTTTTTTAATAATTGCATGTCTTGAATTTCTACGCCAATGAAGGAAAAGGGATTTGGGCATGAGGTTTAGATTAACCAAATTATTTACTACAAAAAAGGTACTCTTGATGAAACTTGATTACTCTCATGGTTTTTGCGAAAATTGTATTTTAATAATTCGATGTAGTTTTTACAAAAAAATATGTTAGCAAAAATAGTTTTTCAAATTTATTTTAAGGTAAAAAGACCAACAAACATGCTCATTCAGTCGGCGGTGCGGTGCCACATTCCATTGTTTATGTTTTTTTTTGTTGGATTCCATAGCTTCGTGTAAATAAAACCATTGTCGGGGGTAATATCCGTTTTTTTGATTGGTTCAAATTGACAGGTGGGAAATAATCAAATTTAAACCACATTCAATTTTTAATAACGTTAAACTTTATTTTCCCTAATAAACAAGAAAAATTTACATTTTCGTGATCTATCATGGCCGTACAATACACCAATGCAGAATATACCGATATGTTATTGGTATTTGGATATTGTCAAGGAAATGGTCGAGAGTGTGTCAGGGTGTACTCCGAGAGGTTCCCAAATCGTCGTATACCAAGCCACCCAACTTTTGCTGCTGTTGAGAGGCGTCTTCGGGAGACTGGCCGCTTTGCACCAGAAACCACTGATTATGGAAGGCAGCGTTTTGTCAGGGTTCCTGAAGTAGAAGAAGAAATTTTGGAACGTGTTGAAGACGAGCCAGAAGTAAGTACCAGACGAGTAGGTAGGGAAATGGGAGTATCCAAAGATGTCGTCCATAGAGTACTTAAAGAACAGTTGTTACATCCATACCATAAAATGTCAGTTCAAGATCTATCACAGCATGATCCTGAAATGCGCCTGGTTTTTTGTCAGTTTGTTAATGGGCAAAGAGAAAGAAATTTAAACTTTGGCAACAATATTTTGTTCACCGATGAAGCATGTTTTACAAGAAGAGGGGTAACGAATCTTCATAATGAACATGTTTATGCAGATGAAAATCCGCATGCAATCAAGGTAAATCATTTTCAACACGAATTTAGAATTAATGTATGGGCTGGAATAATCGGTAATTTTATAATTGGTCCTGTCCGTCTCCCCCAAAAGTTAACGGCTGAAATTTATTTGCGTCAACACCTACGAAGAACTTTGCGAGATTTGTTAGACGATTTACCTTTAGAACTTCGGAGAGATATGTGGTTTATGCACGATGGAGCTCCACCACATTTTTCATTAAATGTTCGAAACTATTTAAATCGGCAGTACCCAAATAAATGGATAGGTAGAGGTGATAACGCCCCTGTCAAGTGGCCTGCACGTTCTCCGGACTTAACACCATTGGACTATTTTTTTTTGGGGACATCTCAAGTCCATGGTTTACATGACACCAGTAGATAATGAAGAACAACTGTGGCAACGTATTCAAGATGTAACAAATAATCTTAGAGCTGATGAAGAAGTTTTGCAAAGAGTACATTTTAATTTTCTTCGTCGTATAAATCTTTGTATACGTGCAAATGGTGGACACTTTGAACAGTATTTATGATATCTTTATTTATTTATTTGTATTCATAATTCATTACATTGGCAACTTATTTTTTTTTCTGTAAAATTACAGCGAACTATTTACAATTTTCGCAAAAACCATGAGAGTAATCAAGTTTCATCAAGAGTACCTTTTTTGTAGTAAATAATTTGGTTAATCTAAACCTCATGCCCAAATCCCTTTTCCTTCATTGGCGTAGAAATTCAAGACATGCAATTATTAAAAAACCCTAGACCTCCGCCCATGGACTGTATTATCAATAATTTTGATATCGGTGTTTTTGCCACGTGAAGCTATGCCACCATATCAAATTTTAGCAAAATCGAACAAACTGTTCAAAGTTTATTAAAAAAACTATTTTAAAATTGTCACTTCGGGGCCTATAGCGCCCAAACTAAGCAACTTTGTAATAAAGTAAGTTTGCTTAAATCACCTTATTTTGGTCCAAGGAACATTCGAACAAATGAAAACATTCGCATTTGTAATTCACTGACCACTTTTCATTCCTAAAGGTACTGAAAATTTTTTTTTATTCAAAATAATTTCAATAATTTCGGTGCGGCATCGGACAACAAAAACGGAAATATCTCACAGAAGGCTCACTTAAACGGATTATGACAAGCATACCTTTTTTGTCTGAAAATGTTGACACAATTATTTACTTACCAAAAAAAGTGAAAAATTACACTGAGAAAAAAGTTACGGCCATTTTAAACCATAAGAAGAGCATTGTGAAGCGCCATCTAGCGGCCATAGTTAAAAGGTGTCGATATTCGGGTTTCGCGTCCCAAAAAACCCCTAGGTGCCAATTTTTAGAGCAATCCATCGAGATGTGTTCATAAATTTTGAAAAATTCGATTTTGATTTTTCAACTTTACCACCCTGTATCTCGGAAACGGAGCAATTTCGGACTGAGGTAAGTTGCTTCAAATCGACTTATTTTGACCTTGGGAATATGTGCTATGATTTTGTAAAGACCTTTTAGAGACACCCTGTATATTTTTTATTTTAATAATATGAATCACGAAAAATGCATAATTTATTGTACTAAAGGGCCAAAAACAGTAATTCAATGAATAATATAACTATTTGTGTAAATAAGAACAGTAAATAATTGATTTAAATGAATATATTTCTAGAGTCTAAAGTGTTATAGGCCTATGTTTCAGTATGTCTTTTGAAAAATCTAACTTTTTCTTTCTTCGGAATTTTTTCGGAAGGCAGGTCCATTCAAATACTTGAGCTGATTTTCGAAAATAAGAGGTACCTACTTTTAAGAGTTGGACGTTTCAGTTTGAACTCTCAAACTACGCCTTTATCCTTGTTTGTTTCAAATCTAATTATTTCGGTTTCTTCAAAATGTTTACAACACACCACAGAATTTTTCGTTATTGTATAATCTCGGGTATAATTATCTTGGTGTATTGCTTTCATCCACATTTTTTGCAATTCAGAATTTTTTTGGAAATGAAAATGTTTGCATTTCTTCAGTTTTTAAGGAACTCCTGATAGTTCGATTTGCACCCAGGAACACAGTAGTTTCATGGCATCTGGAACAAGTTTAAATATCTTAGGTAATATATCGAGACATATGCTCTTGCAGACAAATATTAATATTGTTTTTATTGTTTTATCTCACCTTACCTTCATTTTTGCTCCTGTACCCATTTGCTAAAAAATTGCAATCAAAGCACAAAGGAACAGGTATCAAGTAAATATGGGCAATATATTGGTGTGTTTCTATCCACTTTTTCGTCAATAATGCCCACAAAAATACTAAACTGCAACAATACACAATGAAAGCAATACACAGAAACACATAACCCAATAACAAAATAGCACCATACGCGACGTTGCCGTCATTTCCAACTTCATGGCTTGTTAAGTATAGGAGGCAGTGTAACAGTGAATAATTTTGTATTGAGCATGTTTAACCGTGCGAGAAAGATGTCGTGAAGTTAAGCCAGGTTTGTCCTTAGCTTAGAATTTCAAGTAATGGAAACACAGCTTGGGTTCCAGTTGTCCTGGTAAAAATACGTACAGTGACAATTGGAACGTATTTGATGTGGCCAACTCCAACTGGAACATGTTACACCTGAAATTAACATTGTATTGTACATATTCTCGTTGAAAATTACGCCAAGTTGGCCCTGAAACAACCAATTGAAGATGTCCAAAACGCTAAGAGAACAATATATAGTGATACTGTTTTCTACGACATCCCAATATCCATAATAAGACGCCTTGTTTTGGAACAAGAGGGAAAGATATACAGGGTGTCCGGATAATAGCGTAAAAGCTCTTCACTACGTAGTAGGGGATCCTTTGAGTAACCCTAGGAAAATAATTTAAAAAATCCTTCTTGACCATTCTTAGAAATATGAAGAGGTGAATGTGGGAATTCAACTTGCAATATTTCGTACAAAGTATTAGGTATCTTCTGTTGATTCATTGCATAATGATCTATAATATAAAAATGCGTTAATAACTTTTAAAACGCATTACGAAAATTCCAAAATCTCCAAATTACAACAGGAAAATTTGATCTAACAACATTTTTCAGTGAGTTCCGAATTTTTCAGGTTATTACATAGGTATTTAATTTAATTCTGTGAAAAATTGTTAACGGAATATTTTTAGTGTTGCCAATTTTAATAAACATTGAAATGCTAATAACTTTCTTAAGAATGCTACCAGATTTTTTAAATTATTTTTCTGGGGTTCCTTGAAGGGTCCTCCACCACGTAGTAAAGAGCTTTTACGCTATTTTCCGGACACCCTGTATTGTTGGTAGCAGGATAAGGTGGTAGAGAAATATATGAATGAAGTAGAAGAAGAATTGTTAATTGTGCCGAACACCATGCAGAAATGGAGATAATATGGATTACTTACAAAGATTATACAACTCACTGTACATTATTCCCATATGACACGAGAGGCTTAACAAGTGATAAGCCTTTTGGGATTATCACGCTTGGTGGCATTTATAGCAAATTCTATTATAGAATTTTTTTTAAATTTCAAAGTATTAAAGTTTAGTTCGTTGTATAACCTTTTGAATACCACTCGATGTTTCAGGATTACCTAATACTTTTACCTGACACTCAACGCGTTACCAGCAACACCACTCCTCCTTCAGAGTCGTGGTGTTGCTGCGTAACGCGTTTCGTGACAGTTAAAAGTATTATCCGGTAATCCTCAAACCTCTTGTGGTATTACATTCGAAAATAGGTTTCTTATTTTATTTTTTGTTCATTTACCTACCATTTAAACGTTAGCTTCTCACCACTAAGTAATACTTTTCTTGCATCTCCCATATTTCCCATAATTCTTGAGCAAAATAAAAAATAAAATCTTTACATATATGTTACAATATGTTCCAGTCACCTCAAGATTATTACTATGCGAATGCATGAGAAAATAGGGGTCACGGTTTCAGTTGCCTCAAAATTAGGGTAACTGGAACAGTTGACCAAAAAAAATTAGAACACCCAGCACAAAATGGAACACTGAACCAAAACAAACAAACAAACCAAGGATTTCCAACTAGTCCTAAGTATTCCCAGAGTATTACCAAGTATTCCTAGATATTCCCAGCAAAGTGTACAGTGATTTCTATGAGTGATTCACCCCTCGATAGAAATCTAGTTTAGGCTGAATTTTATTGAAAAGTTCAAGCAAATCATGCAGTTTGCCAGGATAATAGATTTTTTTAAAACTATTATCACTAACCAACTTTGTTACAGGTGTGTTAACAAAGCTTGGAAGACAAATGGCTGAGTTTCCTCTGGATCCTCCCCAGTGTCAGATGCTTATAGTGTCCACTCAGATGGGATGTACTGCAGAAATTCTTATTATAGTATCTATGTTATCTGTGCCGTCAATTTTTTACAGGCCGAAAGGTCGAGAAGAGGAAGCTGATGGTGTGAGGGAAAAATTTCAGGTAAGAGACAAACCAGTATTTTTGATAAGTGTATTTTAACAAAATTCTGAACACATTCAGAAAAACTTTGTAAAGTGCGTTTTTTTTTTAAAGATAAAAGTCAAAATGACGTTATGTTGGCCATACAATGTAAAATTGTCAATGCTTTTAAATTTTTTATGTAGAAAAGGCTTGTGTTGCCAACAGTTACTAAATTTTTGACTTAGGGAATTATCTTTAAAAAAAAAACAAACTTTAAACAGAGTTCGAATTTAAAAAAAAAATTGTTTTAGGTCCCTGAAAGTGATCATCTAACTTTCCTGAATGTCTACAATCAATGGAAACAAAACGGATACTCTGCACATTGGTGTAATGAGCATTTTATTCACATAAAAGCAATGCGTAAAGTAAGAGAGGTGAGGCAACAACTCAAGGATATTGTCGTGCAGCAGAAACTTGAAATAAAATCCTGCGGTACTGATTGGGATATTGTTAGAAAGTGTATTTGTTCGGCGTATTTCCATCAAGCAGCCAGACTTAAAGGTAAAAATTGTCAATAATTCCGGACAAAAATGGTATTTTTTTTTTTTAAGGTATTGGTGAATATGTAAATTGCCGTACAGGAATGCCTTGTCATTTACATCCCACCTCTGCACTTTTCGGACTAGGAAATACACCAGATTATGTTGTGTATCATGAATTGGTTATGACAGCAAGAGAGTATATGCAATGCGTTACTTCTGTTGATGGTCATTGGTTGGCTGAGCTTGGTCCCATGTTTTTCTCAGTAAAAGGTGAATTAAACTAACAACAAACTCTATATTATTTGGTCTAAACGGAAAACAAAAATTATTTGTAGAAACTGGAAAATCAGGGAGAGCAAAGAAGAAGCAAGCAGCTGAACATCTGCTCGAAATGGAAAACCAAATGCAAGTGGCCCAGGAAGAAATGAAGGCTAGAAAAGAAGCTGCAGAGAAAAAAGAGGCAGCGATGTATAAAGGCCAAGAAATTGTTTCTGCTGGGGCCACTCCTAGGAGGACACCGGCTAGATTTGGACTCTAACAATTTGTTATTTTAATATCAAGAAATAAAAACATAATTTTTATTTTTTGTGTTTATAAGTTCAAAGCCTCATATTATGATTATGACCATAGACATGTTTTGACTAAAGGTTTTTCTTGGGATTATCAATTTATGCACAAGTGAATAAGATTATTGTCCTAAAATCAGTGGTCGAGATACCTTAAAATGGTTTTGGGTACTTTTCACTACCAAGTTCATAACTTAATATTTTATTGCTCTGAATGTCAAGGTACTCTCAAAGACTTCCCGAAAGCCTCAAAATTTTTGAAGACATAATTTGAGAATATGATTACAGAATCTGACAGCAGTGATGCTGGATGAATGCTCTTGGACCTTGAAGATGATTAGCCAACTACTATAAGTAAGCTGGATTTAAAAAATTCACATCTTACATAAGAAAAACGACTTGCACCTGAAAAAACTAAAGAGGAAACCCCTTAAATTAGAAAGTGAAGTATTGTCCATCCAAGCTCAAAAAGAAGAAATGGTGAGAATGAATAAACAGAACAGCATCTTGATTTTCTAGAGTGGAATGGATAATTTACTAAAAAACTTGGAATATCCTAAATAAAATTAGATACTCTCCTAAACCGACTCTGCCCCTCTTTATCAAATTGATGAAATGAAGAAAGAAACAAATTTGTGAAGTTTAGCAGGCGGCAAGATCAACAAAAAAAAAAAATGGTGTGTGCTTAAGACCACACGACAGAAGTGAAAAGTTCAATTAGACGTGATCAATAATAATATGAAATACAAGGTATTTCTCTGTATCCTATATGCTTTGCCCGCTTTTTCTAGATTGATCTTGCTTGGTATCATACTCTAAAGATGAAACAATAGCTTTCTGGTAATTAAAAGATGTGATGAATATGTAGGTATACTTTTGATTCAAATCTATTTGCTAAATAGGTATTTTGTATGGAAGACACAACATTTTTTGTCACATTTACATATGAGCGCACGCGTATCATATTAAATTACGCTCAAAGAAAAAACAAATTAATAATTGTTAAATATTTTGCTGAAGTCGACTTAAGTCAACCGTACCCCAATCATTATATAGCTGAGCATGATGACTCAGTTTCATTCAGTACCCACAAAAAAGTGTGCGGAACGCGCCTAAAGAAGTTTCCACTTCAATAACAAGTAAATCAGCAGAACTCCTAGATGATGACTTTCTGAATGCAACTTTGCTAGATTTGATAAATATTCAGAAACCAAAGACAACTTAAGTGGATGATAGTGATACACATACAAAGGAAAGTACATATAGAAAATCTGGTTTTTGTGTGCATAGCAGGAGCAATGGATGTAAGCCAAATGCTGATTTATTCTAGGAAACGAAAGTGGTAGTAATTGTATGTTTTGTGTTAGATGTATGCCCTTTGAAAATTCAAAAATTTTTATTTCAAGAAGGCAATTTCAATGTAGAACTTTGTATAACTCTCTGAACAATTAGCCCTTTGATAAACCATATGAATTGAGGAAGGGGGTGCACCTATTAGAATCATTTTTACACATTGGGTGCATTCAGGCGGTGCCAGCGGCTAGTTCAGCCACTCAGCAGGAACTTTATTCTCGAAACAGGGAAGCAGCGTTCTCATTGGAACGAAGGTTCTGTCTTTGTCGTCCGGCCTAACACTGACAATGACAGAGCAATCGTTTTTTTGAGAACGCTGTTCCTTGGTTTCGAGAATAAAGTCCCAGCGGCTTAGCTCAGCCTCTCAGCAGGTACTTTATTCTCGAAACCAAGGAACAGCGTTCTCATAAGAACAATTACTCTGTCATTGTCAGTGTTATGCCGGACGACAAAGACAGAATCTTCGTTCCGATGAAAACGCTGTTCCTTGGTTTCAAGAATAAAGTCCCTGCTGAGTGGCTGAGCTTAGCCGCTGGGACCGCCTGAATGTACCCATTAATTCAACTCATTTCCATAATTAGACAGTCTCAGATAAGGAATTGTAGGACAAACAACCAATTGGTTGAACAAAATAATACATCCTCTTGAATGATTGCCCTAGACCGAGCCCTAGACTTTAGGCCAGGAGTTTTTTCTATAGGCGGTTAGTTTTTGGTTTTAAAGTTACAGCCCATTGGCACCCTGTAGGCTGGCTATTGTAAACACAGTGAAAATGCAAATTATTTTCTTAAAATTTATTAGTATAGCTTAGTTAAATAAACATCTAATTCAGTCTAGGCTTTTTTTCTGGTGGAGGCTTATTACCAGTCTTCTCTTGCTTGACTTCAACTTTTTCCTTAGTGTTGCCGTTACCTTCTTCTACTCCATTTTCATTAGTATTTTCAGTTTTAACTGCGTTTGAAGCAGTAGTTTTTGGCTGCTGGGGTGGACTTGGCAACGGAAACTTCTTGATAAGCTCGCCCAACAACATATCTACTCTTTGCCTCTGAAATAAGGAACTTGAATCTTCTTTAGGCTTTTCTTTTTCAACTGGTTTAATTTTTTCTGGAATTTTTTGAGTTTTGAAGTCCCAGTAGTAGCCTTTACTGGGATGGTATCTGGAAAACCCAGAGGCTTCTTCGAAAGATGATTGCAAATGAAATACTGCAGAAAGAAGTCTTGAATTCAAGACACTAGCTAAATCAGGTGCTTGATAAATAATACCAGCAATGATATAATAATCTGCCAACGGAGTAACTTGCTGAGGGCTATGTCTATGCTGCTTCCTGACTACATACAAAATAGGCTCTTGAACATGCAATAATACATATTCTAAGCCTGTCATGTTTTCTAGTTGGTCAGGACTCAGCCGTTGCATCCTGACAATCTCATTATTACAAGTCCTATCGAAAAATGGATTCGAGGCATTGGAAAAGTACTCCATCACATTGGTGGTGTTTAAAATTGGGATCCATGCTGAATCGTGCCAGGATACTGCAAGAGTATTGTCTGCTACACCACTAGGTGCTACTAACCCCAACCGATTCATTTTGAATCCTGTTTTTTGACTTTGTTGTGAGTACGAGTTTACTTTTGGATCAGTAGAACAACTTTAGCACTTAGATTGAAACTCAAAATTGAAAACCGAGCTCACACACATTACTGAACTGATTTATTGCTTAATTCGGTAAATGGATGGTGGTTAGGTGGTTTAACATTTTAACAACACAACTTCAATATATTTTTTTCCTTTAAACTATTTTTAGTATTTTTGTTTTTCAAAAATCAAAATACTTCAAAATTATTCAAAATAGGAGTGAAGCTACGCGTGGCTACGCTACACACAGCCGCCGAGTTGCGTTTAGAAATAGCACTTTGGGAGGGAGAGTGACCCTAGAGTAACTCTAAGCCGTTCATTAATTAACAACTGCTTACTCGGAGCGTTACGCTGGAATCTTTACACCTTTTCACGTCGCTCCGGTTCAAACTAACCGAGGCTGGGATCACGATATGTAGCATTCTACTTTTATGACGTCACTTTGGACCTAATTATCGCGTACAGTACAGGCAATAATGACCGTTGCTAGGCAACTTGACGTCATGAAAGTAGAATTCTAGTATAATTCTACTCGTCGTGATCCCTGCCCGGGTTACAAAACGGTTAGGGGTGGTATGTCAAGTGATGACATCACTGAAAATGCCACTTCAAGTTTTTTTTTCTTCAAAATTATGGAATTATCCTATATTTCATTCTTTTTTATTACAGCAAGCTAAAAAGTGATAAAAAGGTATAGTTCAATTTCTTTTCGTTTAATGCTTTAGATGTGGACCATGGGTGGATAGACCTACTAGAACCAGTTTATCTAAAGTTTATAAGTTCTCGTTACCTACAGTACAGTCTACACAACAGCCTATCAAGTAGGTAAACTGGGATTGTCTCTGGTACATCTTTTGAGTATAATACAGCGTGATTTACGTAGTCCGTGCATTACCAGGTAGATTAAGTGGTATTTATGCTAATCCACCTGCAAACTGAACAATTTTCTAATGCACGGGCTACGTAAATCAGGCTGTATACAAGGGAAAACGGCTATCGGGCTTCAAATTCATAAAATATAATAATACATACAAAACACAACTTTTTATTTAGTTTTTACACTTTCCCGCTCTCCGTTGTTTATATTTTTTTCTTCTAACCGCTCGGCGTAACCATATCGCCGAGGTGGTTAGAGAATTAGCCCGGTTACAAAGTGACATCTTTGATACCACTCGAACTTGAGTGATATGTTGCGGTTTGTTAAACCGAAGCCACGTGAAAAGGGCTTTTTTCAGAAATCGAGAGTTGACGTGTTTCCAAAACCTCCAAAATAAAATTACTAAAAACTGTTTTTTTTTTAAAGATAAAAGTCAAAATGACATTGTGTTGGCAATACAATGTAAAATTGTCAAAGCTTTAAATTTTTTTATGTAGAAAAGGCTTGTGTTGCCAACATAGTTACTAAATTTTTGACTTTAAAAAAAAAACAGACTTTACATAGTTGTACTCCTTTCACACCTAGGAGGAGCTCCGGAACAGCTCCGGGGCGTTACGCGCTTATTCCTTTTGAAAAGTGTTTGTTGCACCTGAGTGCTCAAGCCCGACTCCAACCATTTAAATGCATGAAAGCCAGAGCATCTGTTCCTGTCAAATCGGGGTCGACTAACACCGGAGCGAGTAGCTCTAGTGTTTCAAGCTCTTGAAAGGAATACAACTCTACTGCCCAGGCTGCATTCACAATAGACGCCCGGCGCTCTCCGTGCGCGCTCCAGCGTCCGGATAAAGCTTACTTTTCATGCATCCGTTTTTCCGTCAGTCCGTTGATCCGGAAGTATTCCTATTGGTCCAATATTCTGGCGCCAGAATATTGGACCAATAGGAATATTCTGGCGCCAGAATATTGGACCAATAGGAATACTTACGGATCATCGGATTGACGGAAAAACAGATGCATGAAAAGTAAACTTAAGTCGTTCATGAATCGGGATCCTTCGCCCCATATCTCTTCAACCCGGTAAAATTACACCAGCGTTCACAATCGACTAGGTGAAATTTGCTCGACATGCGCAATAGTTTCATGTTTTTTGTTTTTTTTTTTTTTAATTCTGAGACCATCACAACGTTTTTAAAAAAGGTAGCTGGATCCATGATCAAATACAAATTCAATTCATAAACAAAATGAAGAAATAAACGACGAATGTGGGTTACAAAACGGTTAGTAGCGGTATGTCAAGTATGACATAACGTTTTCTAACCCGGTTACAAAAGTTGTATTCCTTTCAAGAGCTTGAAACACTCGAGCTACTCGCTTCGGTGCTTAGTCGCCCCCGATTTGCAGGGAACATGCGTGGTGCAACAAAAACTTTTCGAAAGGAATAAGTGCGTGAAGCCCCGGAGCTGTTCCGGAGCTCCTCCTAGGTGTGAAAGGAATACAACTATAGTGAACTGATCGATACCACTCGAATTTGAGCGGTATGTTGCGGTTTGGTAAACCGGAGCCACGTAAAAAGGGTTAATGGGTTTCTTGTCAAATATGACAATCCCTGTCATTGCCGTAGGTATAGCATGAGCTCGTTTTACAATAGGAAAAAACGGGTGTCTCACTTTTTATGCTCACGACTGTACGTGATACAAAATCAAAACATAAAACATATGGAGAATAGAGATAACAAATGTCTCAATTCAGCTTGGTTGGGGCGTTTCTTAACCCAGTTAAGTCACTCCAACTACCCGGGTAAGATTTACCTAGGTAGAATATAACCCGGGTTGTCAAATCGTGAATGCGCCCCAGAGTGCGACCAAATTACCCCACAACGACTGGGTTGAAAAACGTCCGGTTTTTACCAGGTTTGACATAAGCCGCTTTCCAGCTGGCATTGTGATTGTGCTTCTAACCAGGGACCCGGACCGAAATGAAATATCGGTTCCGTTCCGGTTCCGGTCCACAGCGTCATGACAAATATCGGTTCTGTTACGGTTCCGGTTCTAAGAGAAATATTTCGTGTCGGTTCGGACCAAATAATTTCGGTTTTAACGGTTCATACCGGTATAGTTTTTCACAAATATCTAACAGAAAAATTTTAAAAATATATTTAGCAGAAAAATTAAAGTATCAGTGATGACGTCGCAGCGTGTGGTTTCTCGCCTTGACGTAGGGTGTTTCCACCATGGGCTATGATTCCGCGGACTTTTGCTTTATACATACTTGGTTTTAGTACATTAATTAACATCTTATTTCTCTCTCTCTCTTTGCCTATTTTGCTAATTCAAAATTAAATAATATTTTTCATCATAAATGTATATTCTTAACTACGACCACTGGCGCAAACCGCTAACGACACCGTTGATGACGTCGGCAACGGTGAAACACCATATGAACTTGATTCCAAAAATCAAAGCCGATGAGCAATCCTGCAGTAGTGTGTAATGTGTAGTATCCTTCGTGTAGCCTTGCCTATACCATTTCCAAATCCAAGCGGCAGGAAATGACAAACTGGTCATTTTCATTACAACCTATCAAATGTCCTCCCTGCATGGGCACTGGTCCAGGTAGGGCGTTTCAACCAATGGGAAGGCTGGTGTTTGTTTACAATTTACCTTGCGTTCGGTATTTTGCTCGAAGAGCAGAGCGTGCTGAGCGGAGCCGTAATCACGTGACCAGCGAGGGAACAGAGCAGTTGAACGCTATATAAAAGTGCCAGAAATTTTAATAAGCGAACGCGAATGAGGCTGCACCGAGTACACTTTTTGAATAAACGAACGGTATAGTCATGCTCGGAGAACTCAGACCAAAATATCGAACGCACGGATAGGTTATTAAAATGTCATTTACTGCCGCTTGGAATTGGAAATGGTGTAGTTCAGAAATGCGCCTGTTCCAACGCTCTGTTTTTAGAGTATTAAATTAATAAACTTTTTACGATACGAACAATCAGCAAACAGCCTAATTTAAAGAAATCTTGAAACCGAAAAATACCGGTAAAAACCGATTCATTGATATCGGTTCCGGTTCTGTCTATCTTACAACATTTCTATGAAATATGGGTACCGTTCCGGTTCCGGTCCGCAAAAGAAAACGGTTTCGTTCCGGTTTTCGATTCAATATCGTTCCGGTCCGGGTCCCTGCTTCTAACACGGTGTAGCACAGTGTTCTGTGTTTGAAACGCAAAAGTTAGCGCTCTCGAAGCGCAGTTCGCCTGAACACGCGCTTAATTGCTACCTTCACACTCCCTCACACGTCAGCTCAAGCTCCGATTTTTGAGAGTTGTGAGCATCGTTCCGTGTTGTGATACGAGTGTAATATTTGTCAACCCCATCAACCCTCAAGACCATTTGGTGCAGAACTTTTTGCCCTAAGTCTAGTCAGTTCCGCACCTGCTCCGGGATGTCATACTGCACCGGTGCAATTTAGTGCAATTTTGAAATTCGTGGTTTTGTCGTATTTGGCCGTTTTTCTAGCCAAATAGGAAATATAAATTGAATGAACTGGGAAAAAAAAGATACTTAAAACACACCGCTACAAAAAAAATTAATAGGGTATCAAATCCCGTACCAGTTACCAAGAATCGAAAAACCCGGACCGAGTTCAGAAATAACGCACAGGGTGTGCCTGAATTGACAATTGGCCATGGGGCCCATAGCACTGTCTAGCATTTTTGAACAGCTAGGGCGTCGCACCGGTGTCACACTCACACTGGGTGTGTCATTCCTGAACTCGCCCCTGCATTAAAAATCTCCAATTGGTTGACATAGGTGTGTTACTGATTACTGAAAGAAAACCCCTATTTGTTTATTTTCAAAGTCAAAACAATAAACATTTTGAAAATTAATAAAGTAAATAAAAATAAAACCAACAACAACCTATCCCATACAGGACAGGTAAACGGTAATCTTAGGTACCTTGTAATTGAGCTCAAATTTTACATCGCTAAAAGTGTATAATGCCATGCTTTTTGGCCTAGTAAATATCAAGATATCCCCAAAAACAGTCTTGACTATTGTAAGTCCAAATCCTTTTAAATCATCAACATCCAATGTTCATCTAAATTCAATTTTAGGTTCTTTTTCTATCAGTTTTCATCTCCTGGCACTCAGCTATTCGTTTAAATTATTATTTAAAGCATTTAGAAGATAACTAAGATGCCTTTTACTGCTGACGCTGTGGCTGCCCAGCAAGTACAGGAGCGCCTCAAATCTTTATTTGGTATAGTTCATGATATTGAGAAAAAGAGAACAATATGTGAGCAAAGTCTTACTGCTTTACAACGATATAGTAGCGAGGACAAGGGCCAGAGTGTTCAGGTAAGTAACATATTGTAATTCAAACAAGTTGATAAAGTTTCTTGTTATTGTAGAAAACAAAATCTCTTATAAAAGCTGCAATGTCACAAACAGAAGCTGAAAGAGAAGTAATTCAGAAAGCCTTGCAGAAAATTTATGAGATCAGGAATATTAAAAATGAAAGAAGAATTCAGGCGAGAAGTTCTGCTGCCAACAAAGAGCTAATCCGAAAAGGGACATGGATGAAAATGTTACAAAGCTCTGCCCAAACTTTGCCACTGTTTGTCGGTAAAGTTGGTGAGAAGCCTCCTCCATTATGTGGGGCAGTACCTGCTGACAGAAATTATATAGGAAAGGTAAAAATCCGCAAATTTACCCTGACAAAATGTACTTATGTATGAAAGATGTTTCTCAATTAGGTGGGTGAAATGGTAGCAGCACTAGTACCAGGCCAAGGCGAAGAAGACATCTGGATTTTAGCTGAAGTAGTAACTTATAACGCTGTTACTAATAAATACGAAGTAGATGATATTTTGAAGGAGCAAAATCAAAAGGGCAGGCACACTTTGAGTAAGAGGAAAGTGGTACCTTTGCCGTTGATGAGGGCTGATCCTGAAACCAATCCCGAGGCATTGTTTCTACCAAGAACTTTGGGTGAGAGAAATTTTGTTTGAACCTATTTGGTAGGAAAATTTCATAACACCATATTTAATTTGTCCATCAATGATAATCATATCAATAATTACATAGGTGGGTTTATACCTCGTTTTATACATACCTGCCTTCTTAACACATAACATAAAATGATTATCTGGGATTAAATACTCCATCAAAGTCCTGAATTTTATACTTCTGGGTAGGTATGGTTTATGTTGTGGTATACAATCAGCTGGTAAATTACATATTCGAAAAGAAATTTGCAGCTATCCCTGCTGATGTGGGTTTGGGAGTCGACGCTCGTGAAACTGCATTATTTATTCATGTTTTTATTTATTTATTTATTGATGGGATTAGTCAAAGTCAAAGTCAAAGTCAAAAATAGCTTTATTGTCTTAAAACAAAATGTTGCTGACAAAGCCGTACTAAAATAAAGTCTAAAACTAACACTAAAATTAAAAATTAAAACATTACTCAGTTAAAACAGAGAATAAAAGAACAAAAAACGGAAAAAAAGTTTTCACCAACGCATAAAACACAGACAAAAATATAAAATCTCGTACAATACGCAACGCAACAATATAGAAAAAAAAAGTAATAAAAGTAATAGTAAAAGTAATAACATTCACTTTTCTTACATATAAAAGTTGACTCATTACAAAAGAAACGATACCAAACATACATTGCCACTCGCTGTCAAAAACAAAGGTCCAATATTCCTCAACCAGTTACTATCCTTTCATTAAAATATTCTTCGAGACTATAGTATGCTTTATCAACCAAAAAAGCCTTAACCTGTTTCCTAAAACTTTTGTAGCATCCAAGCTTTCTTATTTCAATTGGAAGATGATTGAATAGTTTTTTACCTTCATATATAAATGATTTTTTTACCAGTTGGGAATGAGGTATGGGCAAGCCGAGAAGAAACGACTGACGAGTATTATAGTGTTTGTCCGCCTCCCTCTCAGCCCCGTATTTCCTGAACATCATGCACACCGTTTCCATTATAAACATTGAATAAAGCGTAAGGATAGCATGACTGATAAAAAGAGGGCGACAGGAATCACGAGTCCTCACTCTGAATATACAACGGACTGCCCTCTTCTGAAGCAGAAACACTGAATCAAAAAGTGAATGGGTGCAGCAACCCCAAAAGCTTAGGCCATATCGTAGGTGAGATTCCACCAAAGCGTAGTATGCATTCTTAGCAACCGAGACATCCAAACTCCTCGATATCACTCTTAAGGCATAACATCCCGAAGAAACCCTTTTACGGAGATTAGAAATGTGATCGTCAAACTTGAGAGACTTATCAATTACCCCATTAAATGTAACATTTATACGTATAAGACAATTCATTTTATTTTCCTGTCTCTAAAGTTAATGAAACCCAAAAATGTGACTATCATAACTCCTACACAACCAGTCTATCACACAACTTGATAAACCTGCCTTTAGTTATCCCAGTAATTGCCAAATTATTCTGATTTATCAGTGGGAGACTCCTACTTAGAGGACAGTTCAAACCAAATTCTGTCGTGAAAATCTAGATATTTGTGTTTTACTTGTCTTACAGAAACATAAAGCTTTATTTGCTCTAGCAATTGAGAAGAAGATCATAAACAAAGTGCAGCTCGACCTTTGATCTACGAAACTCTAGGGACTCAAGTTTAAGACTCATTTTTGTGCTCTCATAGTTGGGATCGATCAGTCGAACCCCAGTTTAATATGCACAGAACTTTAAAAATTTGTTCTGAACTCTCTCAACTGAAATATTCCTAATGTTATGATAGGGTGATCATGCAATACAACTGTATCTCAATTTAGACCTCACAAAAATTTGTGTAAATACATTTAGCTGAATTATTTGAGAAATTCTTATGATTCCTTGAAACAAAACCCAACAGCTTAGAGGACTGCACCACCACGTTCTCAATATGCTCAACCAATTTTAGTCCATCATCAAAAATCACACCAGGGTTTTCTATTTCTTTATTTTTGACATAAACATAATCTTTATTCATGCTGATACACCTACATCATAGTGTTTACATACGTCAGGAGGAAAAAAAAATTGATACAATATTTCAGAGACGTTGAAAACAATTTTTCCAGAACTAGCTAATAAATATTCTATACAATATTGTATTAGATCCCAATATTCTCAACAACTTCTACTGTAGTGTTGCTGATACTTTACAACATAACTTGAAAAGTAATGTGGATCCTGGTTCTTATTTATTGGATGTTAAAATAAATGACACATTTGTACTGGAAACTACAAACGTATTAGAACTTAATGAAATCTTTAGAGGAATAAAAAACAATAAATCCAGTGGGCACGATAATGTTTCAATAAATTTGCTTAGAAACTTGCCTGATAATGCATTATATGTCTTGTCTGAATGTATTAATATTTCATTTTTAACAGGTGTATTTCCAGACTGCCTGAAAAAAGCTATTGTGTTGCCTCTTTATAAGGGTGGCGAATTGGACAACCCATGTAATTATCGACCAATATCACTTCTCTCGACGTTGTCAAAAATAGTTGAAAAGTTAGTTAAAGAAAGAATGTTAAAATATTTTTCAAAACACAACATAATAAGTGACACTCAATTTGGATTCCAACCATTAAAGGGCACCCATGATGCAATGTTTAATCTTTTGGAACAGGTATTCGTCAGTCTTAATGAAAGTGAGCTTGTCGCCGTTGTGTTTTGTGATTTCTCTAAAGCCTTTTGTTTCGTCTTTATTCTAAATAAATTTTATACAATTTGGCAAAGGTGCAAAATTCCTGTTTGCTCGCATTTTTTTGTTTTGTTTCGCGCAAAAAAGGTCGTACCTCTAGATTTTGATAGTGGACGTACCAGAAGCGAGTAATTGGACAGATTTGCTAAGAAACTCGATGAGACGACACGGGCGCGTCGTCGTACGGCTTAACCCGGTCGCAATATTTCTAATCTCAAAACTTCATTGTGTGTGAAGTCCTCTCGTATCAACCTTCTACAAAGTTACATAACCCGTAATTGGGAACACCATAATCCGCAGCGCGTGTGTTAAGCAGGGTCCCTGCAGGAGTGCACTTATGGAATCATTGGGTAAGTCCTTTTTATCATTATTTAGAGGTTGCGCCGCAAAGTAAATACAGTCCACTACCAGCTAAGACATTACGTATTAGCTACCCGCAAAACATTTTGATCCTTAACGAGCCAAATTTCTTATTTTGTTCTGGTGCTTAAATTGATTAACTGGTTAATTATTGCAATTAATCGATTAATTGAAAGTATTTTATTTGATTTTTTTCATTTTGTTGAAATTCATTCGCGTTATACATCATTCTTAGCAAGAAACTGCAAGTGTTTTAATTATTCTCGGTTTGTGTTTTAGACAAAATAAAACATAAAAGGCATTAATTATTGTAATTTGGCCAGTAGAACGAAAACATTTTTATCAGAAAATCCATAGAAGTTGTAAATTGAACCTCAAGAGCAGAGCAAAAAAAAAAGAAAAAACTTGTTTATTTGAACATAAACATTCCAAGCTTGAAATTCTTTCTTTTTTTTGCCTTGCCCAAATGCAAATTCAGGAAAAGAACGGATTTTGCTAGATAGTAGGTACTATTCGATTTAATTTAATTTAAATTTGATTTCAATTTTTTTTTTGGCAATATGTCAGAAGATTTAACAATTCTCACTGCCCAACGCAAAATTCTTATCAAACGAATTTCTGAAGTCTACGATATTGCTAATAAAGCGATCGCAGATGAGACAACGCAAGAATATTTTAAGACACGCTATGAGGCTATTCCCTCCTATTATCAAGATTTCGAAAAAATTCACATGACAATAGTTTTTCATAAGGATATGTCTGAGGACAAATGGGATGGCGAAGAAGAAATTCGAAGCGAAATAGATGAAAAGTATTATACTACGAAGAGTATCTTCAATCAATTCATTAAAAATGAAGCAATCGCTAATGCGAGTGTCAATATGACAATGTCGCAACCGTTAGCTTCACCCACTGCCGCTTTGCATAACTTTGCCCCGACTATAAATGTTAATTTGCCCAAGTTGACCCTACCTGTATTTGAGGGTGACCTTAGGCAATGGCCAACGTTTTTTGATTTGTTTCAAAACCTAATTCATAATAAAGCTGGCTTATCAGATATAGAAAAGTTCCAGTATCTCCTCTCTTTTATTAAGGGGGAACCGCTAAATTTAATCAAAGCTATTCCAATAACGGAAGCAAATTACAAAATTGCCTATACAACCCTGGTGAGTCGCTACCAAAATAAAAGATTACTGGCAACCACCTATTTAACTGAAATATTGAATTTCCCTAAAGTTTCGAATGGGTTTAATTTACGCAATATTTTTGATTCCTTTATGGAAAATTTAGACGCCCTTTCTCTCTTAGGATTTCCAGTTGTACATTGGGATTTTATTCTTCTGAATTTATTACTTAAAAAACTGGACGTTGACACAGTACAACGTTTTGAATTAGCCCATGCACAATTTGATATTCCAACCTTTAATCAGTTGAAGTTATTTCTTACAAATCAATGTAAAGCTTTAGAGACTATGGCTCATTCGAATAATCAAATTTCGCCAACAAAAGGAGCAAATAATAGTCGAGGAGTAAAAGGTGATCCTGGAAAAGTTTATCCTCATGCATTGTTGGCAAATGCAAGTAACGGCAACAGTCAAACTCAAAAGATAGTACCTTCACAAAGATGCAGTGTGTGTAATTTGTCACATTTGGTTTATAATTGCCCTAATTTTCGCAATAACACTCCCAAAGAGAGATTTTCGATTTGCAAGCAAAACAGAATGTGCATCAATGGGCTCTTTCACTAATTTTTGAAATTGGCATATTTGGATAAAGCAACTAAAAACAGAATTTTCTGTATTTTTACTTTTGAAAAATTCAAAGTCCTTCTTGAGAAAACAGAAAACAAAGAAATACCTCCAAATAAAAACCCAGAATTTATTTCTATG